ATAATAATAATAATAATAATAATAATAATAATAATAATAATAATAATAATAATAATAATAATAATAATAATAATAATAATAATAATAATAATAATAATAATAATAATAATAATAATAATAATAATAATAATAATAATAATAATAATAATAATAATAATAATAATAATAATAATAATAAATAATGATAATAAAATAATGATAATAATAAGCATGAAAAGGTTAGTTTCTCCGTTTCTATCAGTGCAAAAATGACGGAGCAAGAATTTTAATAAACATTTATAGCTAAAGGAATTGGACGTGTAATTAGTTTGAAGTTTTCAAATCAGTCGAGATTAACATATGTTTGCAAATTAACCAAAATTTTAATTTAATGTTTAACTAGCAGATATGTACAGTGCTTAATTCTTTCAATTCAATTTTTCTATATCATTGACTTAATATAATTATTATATTTCATATGTTATTTAAGTAATTTCAGTCCTTTTTTTCAAATTTTTATCTTTAAATTTTCCATATATCCTACCAATTCTGTCAGTCTTTTCAGCCTTTATAACTATTGCAAGTTCCGACATTTTGTTCCCATTCTTCTCTTTTCAGTCTTTATATTTAATTCCTTAATTAGTAACTATGAAAATAAAGCTAATTTGATTTCATATAACATGACATTTGACTAACATTCAAAATAAACATAGTTCCTATTTCTATGTTTATTTTATTCAGCTTCTGTGTAGTTACTTTTTGGAGCTAATCAATCATTCATCTGTCAATCACACAGGTTTACCATCCTTCTTCAGAGCCATGTAGAAATTATTGAGAGGTAGTGACATGCTTATGACAAATTTTATGATCGTTTTAACGATGAATTACAATCTGATAATTTTACAATATTGTTCAAATGGAATTGTAAACAAAATCATTTTGTGTCTTTTTTTTTCTTGATCTTCTAGATTTACATTTAATCTTCAATAATATATAAAAATAGCATATGTTAAATATGATAATCATATCATTATGAAAGTGCCTAATAAATTGTTTCGACTAAAAAAAAAAAAAAGAAAAACCAAAAGAAATGTTTTGCTTTCTTATCTATCTAATAAATTAATCAAATATTTCGGGGAATCATATTGAGAATATAAAGTAGATGGATACAAAAGATAATTTGCGCATTATTTTCATAATGAAATAAAATAAACAATGATTATAATGAAAACTTTGAATATTTTAATTCGTTTTTTAATTGAAATTTTATTTAAATTTGATTCAAATTTTATATAATCAATTGAATTGTTTTTGTAAATTAAATGAATAGATAAGGAAGCAGAACTCAAGTGGATTACTGATTGACATATTATTTCACTCCTAATTTTGCCAGAAGCATTTATGAAATCTCTCATAGTAATTTTGTAAAAATTGTCGTTGTGTGATTGAGTTGATAAAATGAAGTACTCCCAAAAGTTATAATAAGTCATCTAACAGCAATAAACAATTGATAGATGTTATGAGTAGTTGATAATTGAATTGGAATTGAAATTGGAAATAATTAATAGACCTGATTCATTTCAGCATCTTTGCTTTTTGATATTGAAATTAGTCATGTTGATAAAAAAAAAAATACATTCAGCATATAATGATATCCTCTCCGAAACAAAAGTAGGCCGACAGATCGCGACCGATATAATTGAGAAGGGATTTCATTCTTAATTGCACGATTGGTAATTATGAGATAATGGGCAGAGGTGACAAATCTCGTGACAAGATGATGTTGCCCTTTATAATTTATAATGTCTGAAAAGGAAAAGTGACTAAATTGAGATGTGGTTGCTAATTAGACCGTGAGAAAGTTACGGTTTCGAAATTCTTAACTCCAAATATTTCACTTTTTAACCTGAATAGTGCAACAAAGTATCAGTTTACTCCTTTGATGATAAAATTGTTGTAATTTAAAAACTGTTATAATTCAATAAGAACTGATATAGGAATTCATATTCCAATGATTAACAGTATGAATCAGCTTTTGTTAATGAACAATCATTTTGAAAGTCTATTTGCTATTTTGATAATTCACAGTGACACTTTCACATACTGACACTAATTGTAATCTTAGCATGATAACGAATGCACCGGAATTCGTAATATTTCACATATAATTATGGATCGAGATATTAAATTTAAGTATTTTTTAATTGTGGATGACCTCGGTCAAATAAAAGTCGGCGACTAAGAAGTCGACTAAGAAGTTGAATTAAAAACGCAAGGGAAAATGGATGAAAGGGGAAAGGTCACCAGAAAGAACATAATTTTACTGGTCTAATTACTTTATATAAAATCCAATAATTTTCTAAATACAGAATCTTGATGAGAAAGTTAAAAATTCGTAAAGCAAGATTTTCTTTATATGTTTTTATCATTTAATATTATCAATATACCTTGGATGAATAGGTATTGCCTATATTTCCATATTTCAAAAAAATTTTCGGATTGAAATTGCATTAATAGCCATAGCTTTTTTTTTTAAAATTTATGCAAGAAAGAGAGAGAGAGGGAGAGAGAAAGAAAGAAAGAAAGAGAAAGGGAGAAATAAATATTCAGAAGTGCCATTGATAGTTATTTAATATTGCTAATATGAAGTGAATGATAATCTCAAAAAATAGTCAAATTCTAAGTGCGTTAATTAGTAAGTTAAAATGAAAATATTGGGTATTACAGTACTAAGTAAATTGAAATTTAACTTTTTTTTAATTTTAAAAGATTTAATTACTTTTATTAAATTAAATTATGTTATATAATAAGAGTTCTTTTTCTTAAGTTAAATATTTATCATTTTTTGATTTGTATTAGTTAAAATGTAAAGATACAATTTATATAATTTGATGCTTATAATTTATATAGTTTCTTTTCCAAAAACAATTGTATTTACGAAATAAAAATTCCATCATTAGCACTTAATATATAAGCAACTTTAAATCATACCTATAATAGTTATTGTGTGTAATACATGCAACTGAATCGATATATATATTCTGAAAAACTTTACTAATTAGCAAAAAAAAAAAAATTGGAGAAGTTTTTTTTTCCTTTTTGACTTTGCATACTCTCCAAAATTTATTTTATTTGAATTAAAATGAAAGTCAAATTTTAATTGTGTTAAAATAGTTTTGTAATATCTTTGATCATTCAGTTTTATGATTTAATAAAGATAGACGAAAAGGCGGTTGAGAACTGAAGCAAATACAATGACATATATTAATGATATACCAAGTAAGAAAATTTTCAGATTATAAATGGAATTTGCAGGGATTGAACTGATTCAATTCGTATGTGATGATCTGACAAACTGAACTAATTCAGTTTATTTATACTGATCTAAAGGGTTGAACTGATTCAATTCATATATGTTGATCTAACAAACTGAATTGATTCAATTCTTATATCCTGAGTAATCAATATTTTCTGTAAAAATATAAAACAATTATTATTAGGATAAAAAGTTCAGCAAATTTTCCTTTTAACTATTTCAGCTTATGCTAATAGTTATAAAATATGTTTGTAATAAAAGCAATATTAATTTACTTACCGTGAGGTAAAATTTAAAATTATGATACTTTTGAAATAACAAAGTTTTAATTTATATTTTTTATTAATTTATATTTTTTTATATTTTATATTTTTTATATTTATATTTTATTTTATATTTTATTTTCAATTTGTATTTTTTTACCGTTTTTTAAAAATGGAATTTTCATAAATTTTTACTTTTAAACAAAAAATGAACAATTTAGAGATTCCAATCTTTTATTTTTAAATAAAAATATTTGGTAAATGTATTTGTAATGACTCTCTCTTCTTTAACCTTTTTTATAAAGAGGAAAATTTAATTTCCAAAGAAAGAAAATTTATGGGAAGTGCGAATATCGTTTGCCAATACAAATCTTCAAAAAAAAAAAAAAGAAAAGAAAAACCTGAAATTATATTACAATTCAAGATTACGGAAGTTTTGGAAACTCAAAAATCAATTTCTGTTTATTTGAGATGATAAAAAGAGCTACCAATATGCTTAAGCAAGATCCTTTTTTAAAATTTTCTCGTTATTTTAATTTCAAGATCTGCAAAAGTTATTGTTAATTCAATGAATAAATAAAAAAAAAAAAAATCTCCAGAACCCTTCTATGGAATCGAGTTACATAACAATTCATGAATTATTTATTAATATTTAACAAAGTTTGATTTATGTTTTCCTTGGCTGATACATCACACGCTTCTTGGTGATATCAAATACTTGAATACTCGTTAGTAATTGTTTGTTAAACAATTCCATACTTCAGATTCTATCTTATTCATCTGATTCAAATGGAAATTCTCACGTAGGAAGTAATCGATGTGATATTTATACTTCAACAGTTTAAGATGACCTACCGTTGTAATTTATCTTCAGATGGATTAGAAAATTCATGCGAAGCTAATTATAGTTGATGATTTCAAGAGCTCTTCTGGTCAAAAAATGAGGTCATAATATGTTGTATCTGTTTGGTTGAAAGTCAGTTTAACTTCTTTCTTCTGAATATGTTGGACAGATAACCATTACTTCGTTTTTCCTCTTTACTACCATTTCAATCAAATGTTTAGGATGATATCTATCATAAAAAAAAAAAAAAAAAATCAAATCTTATCTTTTTTTGAATTAATTGAGGGCGGAGCACTGACCATCAAAGTACTTGAAAGAAGGAGGGATTTCAAGTTCGGAAATAGATATAAACTAAATAAGATTTTGTGTTAACTTACACTTATTTTTGGACTAACAGAACTTATTCATAGTGTTATATTCGTGTTGATCGTTAAAATTTAACAGGATAGCAGTGAAGGAAATGGAAGAAGTTATATCAAATGGTAATATGACACCCGATGCATCGATGTGTAAATGTCCCGAACCGCCATTACATCAAGAAACTTTCACGTCAACACCATATTGTTCCCGTATTTGTACATGTGATGGACGGAAAGAGCGTAACAAAATACATCAGAAAATTAAGAATTGGATAATTGAACGTGTTAGTCAATTTATAAAAGTATAATGAGAAAATTTTGCATAAAGCAAAAGTTTTCGGATCGTTGTTTAATTAACTATCTTGCTGTCTAATTAACCATTTTGCTGTTTAATTAATTATATTGTCTTTTAATTAATTCGTTGTTTGACTTTAAATATTTGCAATGTTTTCTTTCTAAATTTTGCAGGAATCGCTGAAAGATCAACGTTTACTGAAAGAAACGGCAAAAAAAGATTCTGGATTTTATTCGTCGGATGATTCGGACAAAGAAAATCGTCATCCTGGAATTTATTCATCGGATGATTCGGATAAAGAAAATTGTCCTGGAATTTATTTACCGAATGATTCGGATAAAGAAAATCATCCTGTAATTTATTCATCGGATGATTCGGACAAGGAAAATCGTCCGTAAAATGAATTTTGCAAACTGAATTGTTGATGTTATGCAACATAGCTGCAACATTATTATTTTTTCATAATTTATTTATATTTTGTAAATTTTAAAATTATTAAGAGATTGCTCGTTTGATATGCAAATAAAATGCGACCATTTCCTCCTAATCATTATAATAATTTTATTTATTTAATCTTAAACTAATTTGTAATTATTATAACTTTATTAATTGAATTCCATTTCATTAAAGAATAATGTTGAAAAAAAAACTTTCAACAAGAGATAATTGGCGACTTTTTTTTTTCATCCTCAGGATGTTTTTTTTTTTCTTTTTCTTATAATTTAATGGCTCTAATCTTTTAAATTGTGAAAAAATTCTTTTTATTTCATATATGATATATATTCTTATCAGTAAATCGTTTCCGACTACATTCTTTCCACATTCGATTATGAAATCAGAAATGAGAACAGAATTATGTCAATTATTATTTTAACAACACAACCATTTGCTCAAATTAGCGATCAGTTTGAAAAAATATTGGCAAAGAATAGTTATTGAAATGATATAAAATTTGCCATAATTTATTTATAACTATTATTTAAACTGAAAATTGGATTTTAAATCATGCAAAATTAAAAACTTAAAATATTAATTAAAAAAAAGGCAAAATTTTTATTAGAAATAGAAGACGGTAAAGATTAAAAGACAAAATTGATTTTTGAATAATTTATGCAAATTTCGCGAAAATTATAATTGATTAGAAGGTTAAAATTTATCGAAAATTATAGCAACAATAAATTTTCCATCAATTATTACAGTAAGATGCGGAAAAAAAAATTCACACATAATACTTAAATCAAGCAGGATATAGGTTAAAAATAATTTTAAAAACATTTAAAGTTTAAAAGCTGCTAAAATCATTTTAATAATTTGCATTTTTTTCATCTCTTTAGTTTCAAATTCGTTTAAAAATGATATTCCTTGGAATTCTTAGTTTTTTTTTCTTTTTTGCTTTGAATTTGCATTCTTCAATCATTTCTTTTCTTCATTTTTGCATTATAAAAAATAAAACGAAAAAAAACAATATATCTCGGTAAATTCATTACAAATACATTTATCTTTTTCATTAATCTGTTAAAATTTGTTTCAAAAATTTCTTTCAAACAAAGAAATCGATTTTTCAACATAAATGGAATATTTTCAACAATTTAGCGCATTATAAATATATTTTGTATTCATTGAAAATATTTTGTACATAAAAATTTTACAAAACTATATTGAAAATAATCAGTTTTCAGGAAAAGATTATTATTTTCTTTCAATGAAAAAAGAAAATATTTCAAATATTTTCATTTAAATAAAAGTTATATTAATCATTTTCCGTTATTCTTCAACAAATTTTGTTTTGCCTAAAGCTATCTTTTTTTAACCCAAATTAATTTCCTTCAATAATTTAGTACAACAACTTCAATAAGTATTAATACATTTGTTTGAATAAAAAAAGAAACCATTAGTCGATTACTTCTTTTCACAATTAAATTTTGTTATTCATTTTACTCGTCACCTTTTTGTTTTTGTTATTCAATTTTCATAAATAGCAACAATGATCGTTTCAGGATAAAAAATATTTTCCTTTTTGGCGTATCAAAAACGCTTACTATTAATGTTCAGCTAACTTTTCCCCTTTATTGTTGGTCGAAAGCTAAAAGTTGATTCATAGTATATTCAAATTATTCCTAATAGGTTACTTTCATTGTCATTTGCNCAAAATGTATACCTTTAGATAAAACCGTATTGGATCTCATCATACNGTCTAATGAAATA